ATGGACAACAGTGGACAACAGTGTGGGCAGCTGCCTCTACTGATAGTCACTCGTGTGGATCAAATGTACCACAGCCACTGAGGTGGAGTAAGCACTCGGAGCTCGGAGGAGTAAAAATCAAAACCTGATTTATGGAGAGGAATTCATTTGGAACCGAACGTGACCTTTTTAATGTATGGGCCACAGTTTGTTCCTTTTTGATGCATTTCTTTTCCCAGAAATTCACCTTTTCCCGTCACCTACAGCAGTGTGCCAAACCTGGGTTTATTAAACGCGTCTGCAGACGCTCTAAAGTTCTGTGCGGCCAGACACGAACTCTGTTTCTTCTATTTTCAACTCTTTCTTTCCTCTCCGTCTTTCTCCCTCCACCTGCTTCCTCCAGGCCGATTGTAATTCATCAGGCAGCGCCATCCACAGGAAATGTATAGTGGGTGAGTGAGGATAAGAGTTTAATCCATCAAACCTCTCCAACTCCCACCACGACGCAGCTGACTCGACAGCCTCTCCCCAGGATTACAAACTCCTCCGGGGGAGAAGGTCCAATGTTTCGATCCATCTCATTACGAGCCCACGGGCTTCTTCTGCTGGACCCACAATCTCACCCGTGAAAGACTGACTTCACTTTCACGTGTTTACCATGAAAGGAGTGTGTTTGGTACCCTGCAGTGGTCTGAGTCAGAGTAGAGTCAACCCTGCTGGGAATTTCTCCTCAGCTTCTGAATGGGAAAATCATTCAACAAAGATGGAGTGTATACACAGATCAGAAACAGCACTGGGTGGGAGGTGGGGGAGTCAGGGGGAGGGGATGGGGGAGGGTGGTGCGGAACTTTTCTTCTGAATAGATTTCATCTCATAACGAGATGTAAACACTTGAAAAGTCAAGGCTGTGAAAAAACGATCACAGTAACAGAAAACTATTGGCTGGAACTCACATTACTCCTTTGTGCAAAACCCGCCTTCCAACTGTCAATCAACCGACACACATCATGTGACCAACAGTAAGCCCTGCCACTGTTGGTGGCAGGAATTGTTCCATTTTGTTTACAGTTTACCTCCTTCCTTTGTTCGCTAATGTAGAAAAGTACACTAACATGCTATGCTAACAACAGCTAGCCACGAGGAGAGTTCACAGCCAGTTCATATCGATATGAGACACAGATTTAATGAAATAGCAAATAAATACTTTTAAAATGTATGTTTTTCCTGTCCAAAGTAAAAAAAAAACGTTTCAGCTACAAACAAAGAAAGAAGAGTTATTTCAGCTAGCTTCTTGGCAAAACCGGTTAGCGCTCCCTTTAGAAATGGACTACCCTGTCTGTACAGACAACATCTGTAGAATCTGTTTTAACAAAAGCAGAAACTGTTTTTTGTTTTTGTTTTTCTTTTTTAGGTTTGATCTTTCATACATACTGTACGATTTTTTAAGGTTTGATCTTTCATACATACTGTACGGCGGCAAAAAAAAAGTTGTGTTTTTAATGGCGTCTTGTAATCTGTACGGGTTGATGAAGGAATTTGAGTGGGTTTTTCCTCTGTTTGACATTTGATTACATTACGTTAATGTCGTCCCACATTTTTCTGCTATCTGTTAATTCTTTTTTTTTTATTCCCCTGTCAAGAAAACGTGATTCTGCTTTCCCTCCACGTACCATTAATGTCTGCCTGTCAGTGCCTCGAGATTCTCGATGCCTGTCGGCCTTTTGATTGGCCGACAGGGCGTTACAGGTGTGGTTATGCAACCTCCTCTTGACTGGAAACCCACGATTAGAGAGAGCAAACACTGAGCTACATGTCAACGACATAAGCTAGAATAAGAATGAATAGAATCAAGTGCTCAGGTGTGACTAAACCTGCTCAACCCAGCAGTCAGTCCCAGTCATTCCACAGCCAGTCAGTCTTCATTTTAAGTCAGTCATGAGGATTAGCAAGAAAACGAGTTCGAGTTTAACCGTCGGCATTTAAAAAATTACAGTCAAATGTCAAACTTTGTGCGCAAAAACTCTACTACTGTATCAAAATGCTATAAAGCTGGATGAAGTTTTCCTCTTATTGGAATAACTTCATGATAACATTCAAGACTTTAGGGAAGTGACAGGCCAACGGACGGTAGGTAATCGCTGCGAGAAAACACACAATGACGATGGGTAAGTCTACAAACGACCTTAACACCTTAGAATCTCAAAAGCACATCATCCAGCGAACTTCGTCACAGGGCGTGTCTCGGTTTCACACTTAGTCGGAGTGATTTCAATCAGAGCCTGATGTCACTGTCACACATGCACGCCCCAGATCAATCAAATTAAATCCAACACAAAGGCTATAGACACAGTACAAGGTGTGTCGACAGAAATCACCAGTACATCAGTGCAGGGAGTCACAGGGAGCCTGCTGTGTTTGGCCCTAACACGTTATTTAGATCAGATTAGAGAGGCTGTGGCTGAGAGATAATGGTTACGTCCCAGTAAACACATACAGTACGTACGAGCTGCTAAGCTACAATAAGCGTGACAGAGTCGAAGAGGGGCTTTAAAAAAAAGACTTGATTATACAACTGGCTGAGTGCAGACTCAACAGAGAGTTAAACCTGTAAGTCAGGACAGGCCGCCACATGTCACAGCCTTTAAACTTTTCCGGTTTCGACTTCAGGTGAAAAAAAAGGAAGACAAAGTAACTCACAGACTTCTGTCATCAAAACTGGACTTTCGATTCCAACTGATTTCCGAAAGATGCTTCATCTCTCATCCTAGAGCAGAAGCTTCAAACCCCCCATGAATTTCCTATTTCTGGCCCATGACTAAATGTCAATCATGATTTTACTGGTGACATGTTTTATATTATACAGTATTTACACTTGTTTTTCTTAAATATCTGTTCTGTTTTTTTAATTTAATATCATTTTGTGGCCCTCCCAATAAAATGAAAATGGCAGCAGAGACCTTCAACACTTTTGAGTTCTGAGACCCCTGTCCTAGGGGACGAAGACTTAGAACTTCTACTTAACTGCTTTGGATAAAATGACCTGGAAGACTTAGAACCTACATGAGCACTTCATTCTGTTGCCTAATTGGAGGTGTAAATAAAGGAAAACTAATCAATGTGTCAACCAGGGGCATCTCTAAGGGACCGTTGACAAATGGCACTTCTGAGGAACCTGCATCAAGGTGAACAAATGCTGTTTAAAAGACCACAGCTGAACGGACAGACTTGTTTCTCTGCATTTCTACAGATTATTATTCAGGCAAGTGTTTCCTCCTGTTGAACGCTTCCTGTCTGTTTTATTTCATTTTAGTCTCGTCTTCCTCGTTCATTCCCTGGAGCAAATCTGCACTTCACGGTTTATAAGTCGCTGCTCTGTAATGACGAGGGTTTTAGTGTAAATTAGTGTCGCGGAGAGTCGTTAAAGGGTTTTTCATCCACGGTGTCACTGCATCCTGTTACAAACAGAACACGGTTAAAGTGATTATGGAGAAATTATTGTTACGTTAGAAAAGAACACCTTCTTCTTGGGAAACTCACAATCACAACCAATATTTGTCATTTTTATCACTCATTTGTTTAATTAAATACAATGAGACAAAAAAATTGATCTCCTGGGTGCACGGCTGCAAATGCAAATCAGTTGTAGGTAATTATTGCAGCTGCAGCGTTAATGTGGTCGTCTGTGTATAGAGACAGACGAAAAAATGGAAGTAGAAAAAAAGACAAACATTGATGGTTTTGAATATGGTTCAGGACGAGGACCCACTACCACCCATAAATACTTGAACTTTTTCAAAGACATTTTAATTTTTGGTAAATAATGGAGAGAAGTAGACTTTGTCTAATCAACCACAAACTTCACGATCACCCTGCAGTACCTGCACTGATCCCCTAGGGATGGCAAACACCATGCTGAAGACCTTTGGTTTAGAGCAGGGGTGTCAAACATGAGGCCCATGGGCCAAAACTGGCCCGCTTGATGAATTTTGAAAATAAAATAAAAAAAATACACGTATACTTCATGTTCAGGAAATGTTTTGTAAAATTATATTTAATTAAATATGAAAAAATACTTTTTGTTATTCGTAATTAATTATTATATAATTATATTATGATTGTACTGGTCTGGCCCGACAGCGCCCGCCTGTGGCTGTAATACACTCACAGTCCACCTGTGACCATGAGCAGCTCTCTCCTGTAGAGAACCCTGGCCGCGATGGACAAACTCAATCAATGTAATCCACTTTACTGAGATGGACACTGATAACCTCAAGGTTAAATACCCTGGTGGCCACTGGATGAATTGCCATGATCACGGTGAACTTTTAAAAATAACCCTGAGCGGTTATTTACCCGCTGGTGCATTTGTTTGACATGATGTTGTGAACAGCTGACACATCCTGCCCCCCCATGTACGGGAAGCGGGCGGACTTATCTGCGTCCATCGGGGCACTTAACAGTCCCCGGGAACGTGAGCGCGGATGCACATTAATAGGCAGGAAATGATTGAGTTTGCATAAACAATGTGTGCGGGGTTGTTTGTCGACAAACCGCTTAATGTCAATTCCTCAGAAGTGGCTGCTTCAGCCGCCCACCCGGTGCCACTGCCGAGTTTCTCCGCTTCCCAGTGACGCACGGCCGAGCGCACGGATATGGAGGCTAAAGGTCTCCCTGTGGAGCGTTCACTAATGGACACAACACTGATGGGTTTCTCCTTCACTCTGGACCTTTATTGTCCAGAGGATCTCTAAAGGGTCGTCCTGTTAAGACTTAACTAACTCAGTTACTTCAGGGATCTGGGGAGAAAATACCGAGCGTGGAAACTGGAGTCAGGGATGAACGTGTTTTTTTTTTTTTTTTTTTTTTTTACGATTTATTGACTTAAAAAAAATCACAGGTAAATCGAACTTTTAACCTCAGAGCCTGGACTCGGAGTAATCCGATTCCAGCGAGAATGGGATTAACGGTATTTAAGTCAAATCTCTGAGAAGCTGCGCCAAAAATCAAAACAAAAGTCTCACCTGAAGCTGCGAGTCCAGACAGGACCGTGAAGAAGCTCAGTGCCTTTACGCACATCTGAACGGCCGGTGCAGACCACAGACCACAGACCACTGACCACAGACCACTGACCCGCAGAGACTTTTCCACACAGTAGCTCAAACACCCACAAAGTCTTTTTACCCCCCTGATCCACTGGGGTTATTCGCAGTGTGTTGTCTCCTGCACCTTGGCTCTGCTAAGACGCGTCCCGACACGCCGCTGCCCTCTTACACTCCACTCCATCGCCCTCCCACCACAGTTTTCGGGCGGAGTAAGTCAAGTCAAGTCACCCCCTTTCCTCTCGCTTTCTCGCTGACGTCAAAGTCAAAACCCTTGGAATTCCTGGCGGCCACTAAACCAGTTCTGCTGCTGCTGCTGCTGCGTAAGAATCCGAACGGCTCTTTCGCAAACACGTGAGAAAGGAGGTTTCGTCGATGTTGTTATTCGAGGCATCGTGACCAAAAAAAACAACAACTTGAGATTCGTGAGTCTGTCCACTGATGTATTTACTCCAATTTTATTTTTTTGACAGTCGATAGCGCTGAGAGACATCGTCCATTTGTAAAAGGAATGAAGCGTAATGTGATTTATGACCTCTGAAGAACTCAAAACCCAAGTCTACCACTAACTGACCTCTGACCTCTAACCTCTACACAGTCCAGACCTTGATGACTTGAATCTGCTGCTGGTTATTTAAACATGAAAAAGTAGGAAAAAAGACCACGAAATATTTTACCTGGTTTCATAAAAAACAAAAAACAAAACAGGAATGAAAGTAACATTGATTGTACAGATATTACTGAGGTCATAGTTCAGATCTGCCTTTATGAAGACTTATATATATATATGTATATATATGAAGACTTCAATATATTTACATAGAACTATTTACCTTCTACACTGAAGGTGTGACCCAGTACTCCTACAGTATGTGCTCAAAAGAATATTTCACTGTACTACAGGGAAACGTCCTGTATAAATACTCAGTTATTCATTTAAGACCTCACCCTCTGGACACTTTAACGTGGGGCGTAGGGGGCGGGGGTCAGGGTGGGGCCGGGGATTTACTAAAAAACAAACAGAAATGGCCACGATGGTCGTCAGAGGTAGAAATGATATGGATTACATACTGTGAGGAAGTGAGCACGGACCGAAGCTCTCGGACTCTTTCGTTGCTCCGTTTACCAACAGAACTGGTGAAGAACGATGGAGTCAAGTTTCCTCAGCACCACGACAACGACGACGACGACGACCTGAAAGAACGACAAGTTCACACTTGATGACAGGATCTCTCAGAGGTCTGCGGTCGGAGTGACAGAGTTTTCAAAGTAGATTTTAAACCGTGACCTTTTGCCTTCCTCTGACGTACAGCGCTGCCCCTGTTGGCCCTGCACGTCACTGTGAGCCGATGCAGGGATTTGAATATTTCAGTGCACGACTATCGCCTCCTCCTTCACTATGGAGGGGGTAATAAAGATGGAAGGGAGTGCATTTGGACGCTCGAATCCACAACACTAACAAAGTGGGTGCAGTACAGTACAGTACAGTACAGTACAGTACAGTACAGTACAGTACAGTACAGTGCAGTACAGTACAGTGCAGTGGGCTGCAGCTGTGTACTCGGGCTTTTCGAAGTATTACCAATGAATACTTCCACAGACCTCAGGAGAGGAGTTAAAACTTGAGCCAGAACATTTATCAGGTCAATCCTGGCAGGCCATGAATAATACACACCTAGGCCAAGAACCACATAAAACCACATAAAACCTGTGGAGGAGAGGAGGCAGGCTCTCCCCCACACCCTCCCCGAACCCACATTGATTGTGCAATAAAACAGGCTAGTACTAGTACACACACACAAACACTCACGCATATATATATATGTATGTATACACACAGAGACACGTATATATTTGTTTACATTTATGAAGTATTCTTTTTACAATTTTTGCTCATATGACACACAATTATTCACAATATAGAAATTAAATAATACATTTAATTGTAAAAAAAAAAAAAAAGATTAAAAAAAACTGTATACTCAGCTTTTCTTTCTTCCGGTTGAGTTGATTCTGACTCAATAGTCCATTCAGTGGTGGAGGGACAGAAGAGACACACCGGTTAGTTCAAGATTTTTCCCGCTAGGGGGCAGAGCAGGACTTTGATGTCAAAGAAAAAGAGCCTGTAAGACAAATAACGGGTTTGGGTTTTAGATGTTTGGGTTTTTGTTTTTGTTTTTGACAGTTTTTTTTTGTTTGTTTTTGACAGTTTTTGACAGTTCAGAATAATTCGCATGAAATACATTGTATTAAACACGAAATGTTAATAAAATATACTACAAAGTACAAACTATAATTATATAAAAGAGAAGGTTTAATTTTTGCAACGGGTCCATACATTTCTACAAATACAGTAGCCACAAAACCCACAGAAGTCTATATAGAAACCTAAAATTCATCATTCTAGAAAAAAAATGCATTAATTTATTTCGTAAGAGCAACAAGAAGAAACAGGTGTGACCGTTACGTGTTTGTCAACTTGATGAACTTGATAAATGTAAAAATATAAACTGAATGATAGTTGTTATTTTATGTTTATGTAATCAAATATATATTACACGTATACTATTTACAACCATTAAGCTCAAATCTGGGTCTTAACAAGATGATCTTCACCCTAAAATGGTAATGAGGTTTATCTGCTGTATATATAAATACTTCCTGCTTAAAAAAAAATTGCATGTGTGTGAGAGAGAGAAAGAGAGAGAGAAAGAGAAAGAGAGAGAGAGACAGAGACAGAGACAAAGACAGAGAGACAGAGATCTTTTTTTTTTTCTCTCCAGTTGAACAGAAATCTTAATCCTATTTATGATTACTTATACCACTGCAGTAAATCCAAATATCTCAGGACAGAAAAAGGTTTTCCATCAATACAATGAACGCCATGGGTGTGTGGCCCCGGATCGTCGTGCTCTTCCTGGTTGTGGCAACAGTAAGGGCTAACGAGAAAGGTAAACATCCCTACATTGTTGTTCAAAATAAAAAAAAAAAACTTCCTTGTAAACTTGGGATGTGAATTTTGATTCATGAATTTCAATAGATGTATGAAATTAGGCTGTTTTTTTTTTTTTTGTTTAGACAACCACCTGAAATTTGCCTCATTTTTTTTGTCATACAACTACGGCTTGATTGCAGTTGGTGTAAAAGACAAAAACAACAACAATAGAATAAAACAGAGTTTTGTTTTCCGTTTGATTTAGCATAACCTGACTCCCTACTGAGGATATCTTCTTTTACAGATATCTTTAGACACAATGATGCTAACGCTACAGCAGACCAAGCATTTCCTCGTGTTTTTTATCTGACTTTTCAATGCTATTAAAATCCCTTGTCTGTCTTTTATATGAGGTACGGTGATTTCAGACGGGAACAAATTTATAATGAACTGTCCAGCTGAAGGTGATTGGTACATGAATGAAAAAAAACTAAATGGAGATAAGACTCGATCCCTCGAAAAGGAGTACGGAAGTGACACCAAGGGCTTATACAGCTGTAAATACACGGAGGATGGCACTGAAAAAACATATTTTTTCTACATTAAAGGAAAACGTAAGTTAGACATCTCCGTTTATTTTTTTCCTAATGTCACATCAGTCGTCCTGTCGGAGCAAACACTGACGTTATACTGCTGTCGTTGTCGTTTGTTGACCAGCGTGTGCCAACTGTTGGGAGCTCGATGGACTCTTCCTGTTAACCGCCATTGTTGCAGAGGTGCTGGGGACAGTTGTTTTCATGACCATCATCTACAAGTGCACCAAGAAGAAAAGCTCAGGTGGACCTGACAAGACGCCACAAAGTAAGTTATAAGTACAACTAAGGGCCCGAGCTCAGACGGTGCCAAAAATGGTTCAATTCCCAGACTTCTTCCCATTTTAAAGTGACTCTTCACACCCTGTCCAGTCCAATGAGACTAAAATCCAATGTTTGATGTCCAAAAAACCTCGTTGACTGTTTTGTCCTTGTTATCTAGAACCTTCTCGTCCAGGAGGCCGAGCTCCACAAGCCACCTCTTCTGATTATGAGGTATGTACATCATTTATTTATTTATTTTTTTAAAAAATCGGTTCTCCAGTGTTCTAATTCATATGTCAACCTCAAGGCCCGCAGGCCAAATTCGGCCCGCCTCATCATTTTATGTGGCCCACCAGAACTTATTTCAGAGAATGGTTTTCTTAAAATAAATGTCTTCAAGTGTTACTAGATGGGTTAAATACAGTGGTCAAAAGTAGTATTTAACAACTGAACTCAAACTCCAATTTTACTCACTGTTATTAATTTAATTCTTTATTTTTTTATTTTATCTGGTTTTAACATTGTCAGCACGACACTGTTGCTATTTTTGTATTTCAATATTAATCCCATTTTTAATCCCTAAATTTAGACCAGTCAATCTCAAACCTGTTGGTCATTAACAAGCCCCTCCTGTCCGGTCATTGTTCCCCACCACACACTTTGAGAAGTAACAGACAGTTAAAAAGAAGCTTACAAAAGAAATGAATTATATTTATTCTCTCGGTTTCTAACTAAGAACCGTTAACGTTGAGGTCTGATTGAAAGTGTTAGCTCTATTTTAACTATACCATTGAAATAAATTAAAAAAACATTATTCATCATGGAGGAAAGAACCAGAGATTCCGCTAACAGAAGTCACCAGAAAACTTCTAGCAAACAACTGGCTGGAAATGTTGTTGTCATATCTGTAACGTTTTGGAAAATAATGTTCATTTATTCTGGGAAACAAATACCACACATTGCTGATTAGCTGGCAACTCACTTCTTGAGTTCTTGAGATGACGAGTGTAAGAGCAGAGGAGTAAAGGTCAGGGTGAGAGCCAAGGGACTACAGAACAAATCAAAAATGGCATAAATTAAATTCTTTAAAAATGTGAGAGTGGAGATCAACGCTTACGTTGTGCTGTCACCAAATCACAATCAAAACGTGTTGACTTTCTTTTAATTTTGTGGGTTTTTTTTTTCCTGCAGCAACTGAACCGCACACGTGCGTCGGACCCTTACGCTTTCGTGAATCGGATGGGCTAGAGCGGAGTCGCCAAAGTTGGACGGACACCTTGACAGAAGTGTGCCGCACGTTCCAGTCTCATGGATTTACCCATTCACATTCAGTATTATTGATTACATTTGTAAAGAAATGTTTGTGTTCCTTTAATTCAGTACTTCTCAAATATTGGAGGGGGGTGGGGGGGATCGGGGAGGTGCATGGGCGTCTATAATCCAATGCGTCCAATGGAATGTGGCACGCTGGACATAGGTGTACCACTGCTGAAATGCTTGAATGAGCCTCCAGTCACTAGGTGGCAGCAACTCAGACATTGGTTTGTACAGATAAAAAATATAAACGTTATCAGGTTCTCAATAGTATTTCAATTTGCGGCGGTGTGTGTCGGGGGGGTAAAAAATGTTTTGTCCCCACGAGGGGGAGAGGGGGGGGCTACCAGGTGACCCCGGGCACCACGTTGGTGACCCCTGGTTTAGAGTGTGTTATTATATTTTAACCTGTGTCATCCCAAATAGTACTGTAAAAATTGTAATTTTTTTAAAAATTTACTTTTGCCGAGTGGTGACGCTCCAGTCCTCCACCAGAGGGTTCTGGGTTCGATACCAATTCTGGACGATTTCTGTGACGACCTCTGAGGAAGGGGACAGGCTGGAAGAGAAGAAGAGAAATGTAAATGTGGCTTGTACATATGCTGATTGGTCGAGCTGGTAGATCTTAAAGTAAGACATTTCTTTAAAGGGTTAAATGGTGTTGGTGTACAGCGGGGCTCCGAGATACGAGTTTTCCTGTCGCGCCGTCTCGCTCACTGTCCCTCGCTTGGCTATTTATATACCCATTTTTATACCCAAAACAATGTTTTCTTAATTAGTATTATTTTATATTATCACTATATTTGTTTATATCTATGTTTTTGATCTTTAGATGGGGGGGGATTTTAATTAATAATATATTTGGGGGGTAGAATGAATGAATTGGTTTTCAGTTCTTTTTAATGGGGATCGAGATATGAGCGGATCGACACGAGTGCTGCAGTGGAACGGATTAAACTTGTATCTTGAAGCCCCCCTGTATTGTTCTTTTTTTTTTTCATCTGTCTAGAATAGTTAATTAAGTCAACGTAAGCTCAGCTAATTACAAATCAACTAAAACAGGAGCGCAGGTTTGTTAATGATAACACTGGATCAACAGGACAAACAACAGTTAAATATGTTGAAATAAAAGCATCAACAATAAGAAACTTCTTCATCTCTGTCATTGTCTTCCTTCTCTGGCGTCAGACAGAACAAAGATGCTGCGGCCGATACCTGTGTGTGTGTGTGCAGTTAATGAAACGGCCTCAAAGCCACAGCTCATTTCCGCTGCACACTCTGAAGCCCGCAGTCAACCTCAGGGAGACTTCATTACTCGATTCTCACCCTTTCTACAAGTGACGTAGCTCACGCTGCATGTGGAAGTTACTGACATGCACGTGAAATATTTCCTAATGCTTAAAAGTTTCTGTCTCACTTTGTCTGTTTTCGCTTTCGTCCAATTGTTTCCCAGCAATGACAATAAAACTCTGATGAAACGCAGTCGCTGGAATGTTCTGGTTTCATCCACCAGGCTTCGGTTCCAACTGACTGCTGGGACAATTCTGGTCTTTATCCTCAGACTGATGGTTGAACTGAGATGCTTTATAGTAACACGAAGAAGGAGTTGGCTCTGCTCTAAACTGAAGGTAGGGAAGTTGTGACCACTGTGGGCAAGGTGTGAATGTGGGGGCTGCACGAGTCATGTGGGAGGTTTTTATTACCTCAGGGACCCTGCTGATGACTGGTAACCACAACCAGCAGTCAGTTAGAACCGAAGAAGCCCATTGGATGAGCAGTGAAACATCATGAAGACACTGAGGGTGCGTCGAGACTACGGACAGTTGTTCTGTACCGTGCTGAAGCCCAAATGCCCTCCCTCCTCTGTCCCCCGCTGCCCCACACTCATCTCACCCCGAGTCAGGCGAGCTGAAGCGCGGTTGTTGGCTACTACACATACATCAGTATGTGTACGTGTTGTTCATACGCGGTTAAAGCAGCTTGAGAGCTAACCCCACAAACATGGCCGCAATCTGTCGTTCTTTTTTCTCTTTCCACTCGCCAACGTCTTGATTTACGGACAACACGAGGCGGCGATTTGAAGATTTTTGCAGTGGCAGCGGGAAATGTACTTAACAGGGCTTGTGCGCTTCTCTTTCAACCGTGCCGTGCTGGCAAAAGTGTGCCGTGCTCAGGCACGGTACACTTTTGTTAGTTGACACTAGCCATAGAATCTGGACTGGGCCTCAACACGTACAGGTTTCTGTGTGAGGTGATGATAAATCATTAGGCCTGGCATGTGTTGCTCAGATTTGTAGGGTTCAGTAGAAACACTCCCACACTTACTGCTGTCTTTGGGGTTTTTCTTGCACAACTTTGATCGCATGAGTGTGTGTGTGTGTGTGAGCATGAAAGTAAACCAGAAACATGACGGTTTAAGTGGAGGGAGTTTGTTCATGATCTGCTCCTGTTTCTAGGCCTTTGAGTTGAAGAAGTGCTCCCACACACAGACCTACATCTGCCTGAGGAGTGTGTTCCGTCATGTGAGTGAGCATCTGTGCACACACACACACACACACACACGAGGTCTGTGGTGTGTCAGTGTGTGTATGTATGTCAGTTGTCTCTTGTCTCCTGTCACGTGTAACACAACATGGCTTCCGCTGAAGCCTGCTCTTCCTCCCCCTCCCCCTCTGGCTCTTTGATGCTATTTAAAAATTTTCAATTTTACGATTTTCACCCTTTTGTGCAACTGGTCATGTGACTGTTCACCTTGTCTTGTCTTTTACTCAATATTTTTCATTGGCGTGGTTGCAACTGACAGATCGGCGTCAGTGTCGGATTCTGTCAGTAGGACGTAAAAACCAGTATAACGAATAAAATAAAAAATTAAAATTAAAAAATAAATAAATAAAAAATAAAAAACAAAAAACAAAAAATAAAAAATAAAAAAAATAAAATAAAAATTAATGGGCTGGTACAGTGCAGTGTGATTTGGGTTTAAAATTAACACATTAAGTGCAATATATTATTTTGTAATTGTATTGTATTATTATGATAATTATATTACAGTATACGACAAGTATTGTCAAGTAACTTTGGTGGAAAGAAAAACTTTATTTTTATGTCAGACTGTTTACGTTGTAAGTGGAAAAAACACAAACGGTTGATGATAAAACACATTGTTGGTGTGACAGAAGAAGAAGAAGAAGAAAAGGAGGTGGGACAAGAAGAGGAGGGAGAGGAGTCTTCACCCTTCTATCTTCTGTTAATGACATCATACTCATCTTTCTGAGCGTCTTTCCTGAATCGCAGAGGCTAAGAGAAGAAAAAAAGACAGAAGGAAGTCTTGTTAACACATATATACATATACATACATATATATCTATATATATATAGATATGTGTGTGTGTGTGTATTTAAAAAGACAATAAAAAATGTCCTGGCAGTTGAAGGCCTTGAATTTCAGTCTCACCTGGTATGGTTCGTTGGAGGCGCCGCTGATTCTGTCATTTGGAACGTTACGTTTTCTCTCAGAACCTGAGGATAATTATTATCACGAGAATGAAATGTTAATGACGTTATTTAATTATTTCAGCAAAGCATTTATCACACAATTTCAATCACGCTAATTAACTGTTCAGTCCTCAATGTTATTATGTCTCCTTATTTAACGTGTGACGAGATGAATTCCTACAGCGTCCTCGCTGGTAGTCACTGTCATTTCCTGTTTACTACTGTCGTCCTGTCCACGAGGACCTTGCAGGAATTTCCTTTGGAATTTCAATGACTGTGGTCAAATATGAAAGTCTTACGTATATTCCTAATTAAACGAAAGTATTTAATCATGCGTGACAGGAGGAGCCATGCGTGAGGTTGATGCTGAAGAAGGTAAGAAGTTCAAATTGTTAATATTTAAATTGCCAATGAATCACTAAAAAATAGTGTTCATTTAAATGTCTTTTTTTTCTGTCAAAGCTTTTGTCACTGAACTTCTCTTCTCAGAGGAAAACTTCATAGACAGTTACGTTGGGCTAAAGAAACATCAGGAAAACATTTAACGTTGCATCAGTACAGGGACAAAATCCAACCAGTGCTGAGTTCACTGTGTAAACAGGAGGATAGTGGCGACAGCCAATCAGAGCTGTGCTTGTTTATTGGAAGGTGGGACATCTCAACAGAGATCCAATCATAGGGAATGATTGTCCGGTAGTAGAACAAAGAGAAGACAGTATAAAACACAACAACAACAACAACAACAACAACAATAGTAATAAAAAAAAGTAAATGTTGTTGTTGTTATTATTATCTGTCACAGTTTTTGCAGGCGGCGTTTTAGATTAATGTCAAAGCCCTAAAGTCTATTGCTTAACATTTATTCTAAATCAAAACTGATCCTAAAATATTTGAGTGCAAATTTGGTAAATATCATTAAAATTGTTTGTGGAGTCGTCGTTCATTGATAATCATTAAAATTGTTTGTGGAGTCGTCGTTTTATATATATATATAATTATTTTCTTCATATCACTCTTCACATCCTGACTACACATGATCATAAAGTGGCAGATTACAGTAGTTGTACAGATCCATAAACACAGATAGTTACTTGTCGTCTGGGCAGGAGCCGAACCAGTGTGAGAGGCCACCAGGTGGACCCCCACTCCAATGGCCAGCATGGCAATCACTTCCCCCGCAACCATGAAGGCGATGGAGCCTACATCGAACTCAATGCAGTTGTCACAGGCTAAAAACACACACACGGAACGCACAAACACAAAAGTAAAGATATTTGTAATGTGACGGCATGTTGTGCAAATATAAATGTACAACGTTTTCCCCTGTGGCATATTAAAACTGCAGGTTTTTCAGCAGAACTTACTTCGGAATTTCACAAAGATCTTAGAATGTGGGGAATGGTCTGCGTCCTCGCAAATGTACTCTCCTGACTGATCGTCTTTGTACAGCACCTCCAGAGGATTTTTATCAAAACCTTGGAAGTGATGTTCATTATTCTTGCACGTCATCTTAATGCCGTCCTGTGTGGTCTTTACTGAGATCTCACTGCTGACCTTTGAGACTGAGCACAACAAGACAAAGGAGAAGGTTCAAAACACACAGCATCACAGCAGCTAATACTGTATGATAACCAAAAGGTTGTTTTTTTTTTTTTTTTTGTCTTAAAGTCTCAATAAAATGCTCACCTGTCAGGCTCCAAAGCAGCAGCAAAGACCAAACTGAGGAGTGTTTCATCCTCTGTTAGCTTTTCTCTTCTTCCGACGACAGATATTTCAGATCACTCTGAATGGAGAAGACGCTGAAAACAAAAACTGGAAATTAATTATAATTATAAACGTGAGCCATGTATCTGTATGATGGTGAGAATGTGGAACAAAAGACAAAAGTCGAGAACTAACCTCAGAGAGAAGTTTGGTTCCGTCTCTGCAGTAAGAGTGTGCCGCTTCCTTGTAGCTAGTGGTGTCTCTCTCTCACTCGCTCACTCACTCACTCACCCAACTCCTGTTGTGTGTATGTGCATGTGTGTGTGTGTGTATGTGCTCAATAATTACCCAAGGTATTTAAGACTTAGTATTTAGAATATCTAAAAGCCTCTACTCTAAATGTATATTTTTGTCATATTTGTTTATATTGTATCATTTCAAACTTCATTCCCCACAAAAACAGAAAACACCTTCACTGCTCTTAATGTTTTTTTGTTTTTTGTTGTTGGTAATGTTTGTAAATTTCTAATAGAAGGCAGATCTGGACCTCAGGCAGGCCACGCCCTCCATGTTTGTGCAGCTACAGTTCTGTAATTTGTACACATAAGACCTGCCGTTGTGTAGTTAGTGAAATTATTTGATTTTTAAAAAGAACAAAGTTAATCAGACAACACTGATGATTGAGAAGCCGCTCAGAATGTTACTTCACTGACACTAGATTTTCATTGGGGTAATGTTCAAAAAAAAATATTTGCGTGTAAAACACATTTTTATATTATTGTTTAAAGATAACTGTGTGTTTCATCAAACCTTAAATTTCTCTTTTTCCATTTTACCCAACACGACTCTTTCTAACCTATAACATAACGATGCCTAAACCTTCACTAATCAAATGGTTGCGTGCACATCTGACACACAGTTCTGTTGAGTTCACATGATATGGAGATGCATTTAATTCCCTGCCCTGACTGTTGTCTCAGTCTGTTTTAGGATCTACAGTGGATGGAGCTGCAGGTAAAACACGGACATGGACACAGCCCAGTCCATGACCACTCTGTCCATTCTTTACGTTACACACCTTCACACCAGAACCTCTGAGAAGCACAGAAGAAATCGACCAAAACAGAAAGCAGAGACGCAGCTCCAACAACACCACCAGATCTGTTTCCTGTGTAAAAACAAGCCACAAAAACCTGTGACCTGACACCTGGCAAACACACTCACACACTCACTCATTTGGTGCAGCTGCGCACCCCACTCATGTCAACTCAGAACTGAATTATCTTCTTATAGTGCCCCCTGGTGGGTGTTAATAAAATAATGTCAATAGAGTATCTTTATTGGACCCTTGTTCTTTTTTTTTTTTACACATGTACATATGCATACAAATATACAATACCTAATATGTTGTATGTCCATATACAAACATACTCTGAATATGTGCCACCTTTTTAAGGTACTTTTGGTCAAAGTATAAAATCTCACATACAGTACAGTACTTTATTTTGTGGATTCCTTGTAAGCGTAGGACATTATTTATTATGCAACAACAGGGGAGGACAACAGCACGAGCGTGTGGTTACTGTGAGAAATTAAAGCAAAGCTGTAATTATCTGGACTTTTTTTAATGCAGCCTCATTCGATGGAATATCAGGGAAATGGTGTACACAGTACTAACAACTCAGAGTACTTTGTGTACTTTGGTTTTACCGCTTACCCATCCACGCCCATTCACTCACACAGTCACGAACTGCCATTACTCGAACAGGGGCATTAAAGGACAGATGTCTTGTCCATGGACACATCGGCATGTAGCCCGGCTGAGCCTGGTGTCATGGCCTTGACCTGCTGGTGACCTGAGGTACGTACTGATGAAACACTTTGACAGAGTTGACTTGAAGATTCATTACCGGTTATCGCTGCATCTCAGTTCGTCTCAGTTCACCTCAGAGGCGACGGATGATTGGCCGAATGGCTGCGATGACGCATGCAGGTACAGTCAGTCGGCCCGTGCTCAGGCTGGAGCTGTGTCAGAGCCAGATCTCCTCGCTGCTTGTGCTGCTCACCTTGTAGATGTAGCCCACCATTGGATACCTGGCAAAACCTGGGAATCACAGAGCAAAGAATGAAAAAAAACAAAAACAAAAATCAAACACAGTGGTATCAAAGTCAGTGTAAAAGCCTGACCTCTGGCGGCGTAGGCTAACGACGGTATCAAAGTCAGTGTAAAACTCTGACCTCTGGCGGCGTAGGCTAACGACAGGTCTTCCTCCTCCTCCTCTTCCTCCTTTTTCTTCTCTCCCACACTGTTGTGCTGTACAGCCTCACGAGCTGAAAGTAAATAAGAGAGGAAAAAAAAGTAGAGAGAAAAGTGACATATTACATGATTAACTTCACTTGCACTGCTATGAAATATAATTATTTTACTGTTTTTGCATAACACCCTCAGATTCAGATTCACCCTCCCCCGCTCCCCCGCCCCTACATAAGGGAAGAAACACTGCCAGTAAAACAGAGGCGTAATGTTACGTTTGTGACATGTTTGTGTGATACAAGTAATGGGGCGTTCAAGTTGAATCAATGTCGATCAATGTCAGAATTTCCACTGTTAAACCTATGCATGGACACACAGAAAACATGATAAACAAAAAAACACAAATACCCGGCACCAGTATAAAATTATAAAATACATAATTTTAACTACATTAAAAAATATATAAAATATGTATAAAATATATATTTATATTTTTTTCAAAATGTATATAAATATATTTTTTACTGCACCTCTTCTCAGTGTACTGAGGTCATGGAGCTGCATGTTGGACGGCAGAGACATGTTCTCGCGGGGGATTTGGGTCTTATCAGTTTTTTCCGTCCTCAGACTGGCAGAGTCACTGTACAGGAAACACAGAGGAGCAATTTCAGGGTTGGATCAGATGTGTTGTGTACATTAAGTATTCATGAAGGCTTTCATCACCGCTTCACCTACAGTGCACTAACATGACGCTGAGATGGAAACTGCAGTGATGAACCGACGGGGTCCTTAATGCTGACCCCTGGTTAGTATGGTAACCATAATGATAATACCTGTTACATGTATTATCATACTGTATATTGAGGGGGTTGAATGACTCCTTATACGTATACTGTATGTGTTATGCACAGTTTTAGTCAGTTACAATAATTAGAACATTATTTTGAACTAAAAAACTTGAACTTGTGAATCTCATTCTTTTAATTATTTCTCAATAAAAGCTAATGAAAAAATACCAGGTTGTGCTACACTATTACAGTATTTGCATGAATTAACTGGGGAAATAAAATCATATTTATATATATATTTTTACCTCTTCTTGGTCATCAGAATTTCCACAGGCTCATCTGTAACAGAATAAAGTTTTCCGTTAAATTATTGCTGAATTAATACTTTTTTTTTTAACTACATTTCCCCCGCTTTATTTCCCAGCAGACTGCATCGGCTCTCACCGATCGACTTGCTCTTGTTTTTTTGCATGAGGCAGAGAACAATAAGGCTGAGGATGAGGAGGGCCATGAAGGCCATGGCTCCACCAGTGACTATCCCCAGCATGGGAACCTCCACGCTGGACTGCAGGAACTCTGGAGAACGATGGAGGGAGAAGAGATTATGAATACACGTAAAACTTCCTCAGCTTCCTTAAAACAATAATAATAATAATAAATGGCTTAAATGAGCTTTGCATGTTGATAATATATTTTTATAAAGTATTAATAATTGAAATTGTCTTACATCCATTTCTATCTACAGCCCCCTCCACAGGTTTTTCCCTCCTACCTGTGAGTGTAAGGTTGCTCTGCACTGCGCCCACACTGTTGCTGGCGTTCAGAGAGACATTTCCCGATAGGCTGCTGAGCGTCACCCTCAGCGTGTGATTGGTCAGCCAGGGGTAGCTTCGAGAGTCCAGGATGAAGAAGTCAGAGGTGTTGGCCACAACCTGACCAGACTGGTCCACAAATGTGATGGTGGCAGGAGGATTGGACCGGACCAAAGCGAAGAGGACCAGAGACAGGCCGGGGTCAGAGGTCTCGCTGTAGTGAGCCTTGACCCTGAGGATCTCGGGCTGAACTGTGGGGCACAGCGGGAAAAGGAGAATTCAGCGGCACTGATTATTGAATGAACTGTAAAATACAGTTTTAACCTTTTATACACACACGCACACTGGATGTTCAGGGTGACAGTAGCGTTGTAGCTCTTTCCCGTTCGGGGGTTCGATGCCACACACACAAGTTCCTTGTCCCATTTTCTGGCGTGCAGAGCAAAAGTGCTGTTGTGATCGGTCCCTGGTTTCATGACAGTGGAGTCCGTCTGTGACGTCATCACCAAACGCCCGCGGTTGGGCGACGGCTCCCTCTGTTTCTCCCCGTTCAGGTACCATGTGAGTAAGGGCGGTGTGTGGGGGTTCCAGCTTTCTGCCTGACAGTTGAACTTGTGCGTTGTGTTCTCCTGCAGTGTCATCGCCGCCTGCTGCCATCCATCGATTTTAGGACCTGGTTCAATAGCACCTAAGGAGGGGATCATTAATGACAAATGTTTAATTAAAATTAATTAAATTATAGCCTCCTAATGCAGACTCAACAAATAAGTACATTCACGCTGAAACTTCGATTTCCCTGATGGAATCTTCCAGGGAACATTAAAATTCAGTCTAACCTAATCTAATCTAATCTAATCTAATCTAATCTAATTAGTTATGTTTTTTGGGCAGTCAATATCAACAGGGAACTGTTGTTTATGTTTTGCATTTAAGTGGACATAAAAAAAAAACTTACTTTACTTCAGAAATTTACTTTAGAAATTTAAGTTGCTCAAAGGGAAATAGTTACAGTGCTGTCTGTCGTTTTATGCTAAGCTAATCGGTAGCCAAACCAATCACTTAACAAATTAAACAAGGCCAAGTCGGACTTCATCCAACATTTTTTGTTAGTACCTGATTGTATATCATAAGGTAAATATATATAAAAACGTAAAAGGTATATAAAATAGAAAGTAATAATATAAAAACATAAAAGGTATATAAAATAGAAAGTAATAATATAAAATATATATCGAGTGTGCAGAAAGTTTATTTGGAAAATGATTACTTTCCACAGAGTAAAGAAACCAACTCCACTCACCTGTCCAGGACAAGGCCAGAGTCTGAAGGAACACCACAGCAGAGCCTGGTGCCCACCTCCTCAGATACACAAGCTCCATTCTGGCCCAGTGGAGCTCCACGTGCACCCAAGCATCTACTTCCTGGAGGAAGACGCCAAAAAAAGAACATAAAAGAAAGAACGGAGAACAACAGTCATGATAACATTGGGGTAAACATTTTTTTTTTATTTTTTTATTCCAATCAAGAACTTTTTAACTACTATTATCAGATTCCCCAAAGTAGCTGATTTGGTATTCCTAAGAGTGAAGTGACTGCTGTGAAGTGACACCATGAGAATCACTGGAGTGCTGACTGTGAAGATTACAATTCTGAGCTAAACCCTGAACAGGATTATTAGCTAATGCACAGAAATCTCTCATTCAACCGACATCAGCTGAGTTGACAAAGTAAAAAATACGCACCGAGACAATGTGGATTCATAGAGTGTTTTCAATGTGTCAGGACTTGTGTGTTATGAGTATACACAGTATATACAAATATATATATACATACTGTATATACATATACATATATACACATATATACACATATATTTATATACATATATTTATTAATATAATATATAGTATACATATATATGTATGTATATAAATATTTACACAGTATATATAGAATACATATATACACGTGTACAAACAGAAATGTATATATATATATATATATATACCACAGATATATATAAGTATATGCACATATACAATTACACTACTAATACTAGGGACTTGAATATTTACTACGGAGTCTGTACTTTCCAAAATATGTCCAAACAAGTATACAGCTACACCAGCACGAGGGTATGGTCACCAGAAGGAACACAGTAACAATAACAACATTTCGTCAGTTTCCATGTTGACTGGACAGACAGTAACAAAACAAAAACACAAACAAACACGTGAAAATTCATTCCAAATTCAAGTTCTGGGAATCATTCATCTTTAGTGCCTGCCAGCGGTTTGGGTCATGTGACCAAGGAGAGCACCTCGTATGAAAGCACACACACATTGACACCGACAAACACACACAAATGCCGAATTTAAACATGTGGAAAAGCCACTGACATCACCATTGTCACACAGACAGAGGGCTCTGCTGTCAGAGTGTGATTTAAAGGTTTATACTGACACCGAGGGTGGGATTTGACAGGCTGAACAAGGCTAAGGATTACACACACACACACACACACAATGAGCTCCTCCGCAGTGCTGCATGCGGACATTGTAGCACAGATGTGTGCACTGGCGTACAGAAGAAAAAAAAAAGAATCCCACGTAACAGAGGGAGAATTGGAATAACAGAAATACCTCATCTCTTTCTGCAGATGCTGCTGCTGCTGTGATTCAGCTCCAGCTCCATGGCAGCAGAGGAGGAGGAGGAGGAGGAGAGGAGGAGATGGCAGAGTGAAGGATGGAGAGAGCAGCAGGAGAGAGGAGAGACAGCCCTCCCTGACTCAGTTGCTTTTCCATCAATGCACACGTACACACACACACAGCTTCAGTAATGGGCAGTCGTTGGCTGACGCAGGCAGGCAGTCACTCTGTCGCCACTACGTGAGAGAGAAAGGGGGAGGAGGAGAGGATGGAGAGGAGGGGAGTGGATATCTGAAAAGATGGAGAGAAGGAGCACATAGATTAAAGTTGTAAAAGTGGAAAAGGAGAGGAACGAGGTGGGGAGAGGGGAATAGGAGAAAGGAGTGGAGGACAGAAGGGGGGAGAAGGGGTGAGGGCAGGAGAAAGGCCAAGGGAGGTGAAGGGGTTAAAGGAGAGGAGAGGAAAAGGAAAGGAAAATAAAGGTGACATCAGGTCAGGAGAGGAGAGCAGAGGAGAGATAATTATAGGAAAGGAAAGAAAAGGGAAGAAAGGAAAAAAAGGAACAGAGAGGATTTGAGGAGAGGAGAAATACAAAGAATCCAAAAATCAGTATTTTTCAAAATATATACTGTTTAACAAACAGACAGTTTTAGGATTAAACTGATGATTCAAGCACAGAAAACATCTGTACCAATGTTGTGAGATGTCGAAAAGATGGTGGTGAAGCTAACGCACTACAAGGCTCCGTGTCTCTGAGCTCTGTTACTTCTGTCTGGAACGACTCTGCAGTGCAGCTGTACAGACCAAAGCAGCGGCTCACAGAGCACTGCGGCCAGGAGAGTCAGTCTGTAATGAAAGACACAGCGTTAACCAAAAGACAACTTTAATGTTAATGATAATCAGAGTTGTTTCACGGACACAATATTCGATGAACTGTGGCGAATTTTAAAAAATCAATGTCAGACGAATCAAATCAAGCAGAAACAAAAGTTAGAAAACTAAGAGTGAAAATATACCCGAGTTTTCTCAACGACGACGGGGGCTTCACAGCGGGGACTGGTCCAGGTCTGTGGTTGGGACTGTTTTGAGACAATTGTGTTAAAAAAACAACAACTATGATTTTGCTGCTTTGTAGGATACTTTACCCGCAAAAGACCTCCAGAATCAGACGTTCTGAGACTGACCTTTAAAAAAACACACACAGTGAACAGAGGACAGTGTATAGGTGTTTGTGACCATAAAGACATAAACAAATATATTTTTTAAATTATTTCTTTATTTATATATATTTATTCATCTCAGTTTGGTTGATATTCTTTTTTTAATCATTGTTGTTGCACTTTAGTATTTTTGTATTCAACAGAAATTAACATTAAACATAAAAAAAGACAAAAGGAAAGAAACAAAACAAAACCTAAAGGGGGCGGAGCAAAGAGCTGGCTGGTCGAGAAGTGAGCCTGGGATTGAGAGACGAACACAGACTTAAAAAATAAAATAAAATAAAAAAAAAACAAGGGTTGAGAGACGAAAACGTGAAGGTGGAGGTTCAGTCTTATGAGGCAGGAAGTGTGTGTGTGTGTGTGTGTGAAGCAGCTCTTTCCTCCACATTATTACCTCTGAATTCATGAGCAGTGCTTTCCATTCGTTCAAGCTTTTCCGATGCGTTTGCTTGTGCGCATGCACCTACACCAGTCATGACATGGGACACAGTGGAGACTCTCGTCTTGAATTTACAGCTTCTATCCTGACCAGGGACAAAAGACATGCACCATCATTTTATTTTTGGACATTTCCTTCTCACCCTCTCTCTGCACTAAAGGAAATTACTTTTTTTTCCTTCTACTTCTTCTTCTCCAGACCTTAGTTTTGGCTTCGTGTAAACAATAAGAGAAAACAGCAGGAGATCTGAAGGAGGAAGTGAGAGACAGAGGGTGACGGTGCTGATCTGTTTTCATTTCATGGATTAATTCCAGACCCATTCCAGTTTCCACTCTGCCTTCGAAGAATTAAACCAAACCAGAACCACAGTGAGTCTGACTAAGAGTGAGGGAGTGCTGGTAAACAGGACGTGACGCTGTGAATGGAAAGCACAAGCGCTGTATGACACCGTTTAGAAATGTCACATATACAGAGTGCACAATATGCCAACCATGCAGCCGAGTATTCTGGAATCTCAACAGTTTAAACACAAATAATTGTAGCTGGATTCTTTGTCCGAGTCTCTTTCCTGACCTAATATAGAGACTTTGTCCAAGAGTATTGTATACAGAAGGAAAAGTAAAGGTTGAAGAATAAAATCAGGAAGAAAAAAAAAATAAAATCCAGATGGCATCTTTTTCTTCTTCTGTGTTCTCAGTGCACTGTAGCCTTATTGGTCGATGTTATCGGTGTGGCCACACCCGTCCATGCTCTGACCAGAACCTCACAGTCGACTGATGTGAAAGAATTTCAATCTCATTCTCACTGTTCACCTGCTGGAATAAATGTCTTGTCTCTAATGGTGACGGAGGAGGGTCCAGATTCCACTGTAACTGTAGCAGTGGCCTCCTCCGTCCGTCGCTTCACGTTTGGCTGTGGGTACACCATCAGTTCAACTGAACCAGGGAGCGGGGCGGGGGGGGGGGGGGTTCAGTCACTGTGGTTGTAGAGTCTTCCTCGATTGTAAAAAGCAACAAAGTAAGCTTGTGAGGAGGGGGTCATGTCCGAAATGCTTCGTGTGATCGCTGAGCCGCGTAGTAAAGGTTAAAGAGGGCGGATCACATCAGGGCGGCAAGAAGAGGGGGGAAAAAATTGTCTTTGTCCGTGTCCGCACTCATCACGTTTGGGATGATATGTCAGCTATTTTACAACCTATTCTAGTATTTCCTGTCTTTTCTTCTTATGTCTCTATGTCAAGTCTCTATTAGCACCCAAACCAACCCAGACGAAGCACAGATCCTGACCCAGCGTAGCCCTGCTGCCACTACCCTGTCAACAGGCCCGACATCAACAAGAGTGACGGTCACAACATCAACGACTGAAATGATACTTTAAAGAGCAACGCAAAATAATTACTCTCCTCTTATTCAAGTGTCTCAATAAAATAATATTAAAAAAAAACAAAACAAACAAAAAAAAATACATTTTCTTAACGGGGCAGAAAGAGAAGCGTCTTTCTTTTCTTAGTCTGCCCTCTTTTGGCTAGAAATCGTAAAAGATTTGTTTTAACATAAACAAATAAAAACGAGAATTCTTTGAAAACATTCAAAAGTACAAATGCTAAAACAATAACAATATTAAAAAAAAAGACATCCTCCCCAACAACATCAATAACAAAAATAATCAATACAGAAATTACAATAGCGTTCTATACATGGCGTGACTGTACAAGGAAAGGAGCAAATGTCTGGCAAATCTACCCACAATGCAGTACACTTTCACTGACATAGAAAAGGAAAGAGGATGGAGATAAAGGCGGGTGGACACAGGGTGTTAGAAGTTAGCATCTGGAGAGGAGGAGGAGGGCCGGGGGAGGTGCTTGAAAGGGGGGGTAAAAAAGCAGGTTAACAGCCTGAGGTGAAACAGACCGAGCAAGAAAAGTTTGAACAGAAAGTGCAGATTTACGCAAGTCATCAAAGAACAATTTCATTTTCTTTGCAACACAGAACTTGTTTTTCCTTTAATAATATTAATAATAACAAGGATAATAATATTCATTATAATAAAACTTCTTGTACAGAAAACAGTAACAACAAGAGTAACATTTGTGACCATAATGTCTGTGTGGACATTAGCCGTAAATTAATTTTAAAATAAGATTTAAAAACTAAAAAAAAAAAAAAAATCAAAAAAAAAAAAAAATCTATGAGAGCCGGTTTGTCCTGTCAGACGTCACTGAGCTCTGTCTTTGGAAAAGAAAAAATCGGATTTGTCGCCCAGTTGGAGCCTGATGAAGCCTAATCCCAAACAACCGCCACCCAGCCATAACAGGTGGGCTGCCCAACTTTTATCAAGATTTCAGCCCCTTCGGAATGATCTGCTGCCGACCAGCAGGGGGCGACATTACAGCCATACACTGTAAATACTTTGGGTTTCTGGCACCGGTTGTTTATGTTCGGACTCTGTTCTTCTGAATGTATCAATGCTTTTGGCCAACAGTTGACAGAGGACGACAGATGAAAGAAGAGGCTTGACCTGGGTGACAGGTGGGGTTGGGGGAGGGTTTGAGTGTGAGTGGGGAGCAGGTGATGGGGAGGTGTAGAAGAGGAGGAGACGACCAGCGGCAGTGAACGCCACAGGTCTGTGCAGGAAATGCTGGCACTTTGACCTTTTCTGAACCCCAAAACACCCCACCTGTGACCCCCGCCCCAATGCAGCGCACCTCTGAAGTCTACACACACTTCCCTCTCTTTTGGCCAGACTGCCCTGCCCTGGGCACAGATGGAGACAGACAGATGGATGGAGTCAGTGGTGCCCCCCCCACATGGGCAGACAACGTTGGTGGTTTGGCGTGATGCTGCTCAACTCAAGTCAACACAACTCAGGATGATAATGTAGCGACTGCTATACACAGGTAACATCCTTTCCTACAGGAGACACAGGGACGAGAAACGACGACACAGGTATTAGGTTCACATTATACAGTAACCTTACATTTACACACATTGTTTTAAAGGTGAATTTACAGGATACACGAATAACAATTTCGAAAAAGTTACAACTAGGGCTGTCAAACGAAGGCAATAAGTCGGCAATAAGCTGTTTATATTCAAACATTCCACCGTCGTTGCTGTCAACTTGAGGTACACTTTTAATAAATTTCCTTTTAAGACTTAGTTAGACTCTGTTAGTAGTTAGTAGTAGTAGTGTGTGTACCTGTGCTAGACCCCAGCCTGCTCCATGCTGCACTGCAGGTCTGGGGGCCTGTAGCTGAGGAGCATGTCACTGGTGCAGGAGGAGGGGTAGCAGGCTGTGGCGTGCAGCTCCCCTTCAACGTCACACACTGAGGAAAACGCACTACTTTAAGTAACACACAGACAAACAAACAAACAAAAAAACCTATAACAGTGATTCGGGTTGAAATCATGTCAGTCAACAGACCTGATTCTTCACGCTGGTGCAACTGCTGGCTTCCTGTCAGTGACGTCTGACTGAGGATGTCTGACATGCGGGCGGAGCTCAGTGCCTTTCCAGCCAACAGGCTCATTCCAGACATGGGCTCCACCTGATCCTGTACAGGAGGTTAACCATTTTAAAAACATGAATACTGCAAAATAGATGGATTTTTGTCAATCAAATGAAAAACATAATTATGTTGTCCTCATGGCCTATATGACCTTAATTTGACTTTTTGTTTGTGTTAACTGCTCTGACGCTTCATGTTGTCTCTTTTCTTTTTTTTATATAAAAAAAATTAAGCATTTTACAGGTGTTGGCTTAACTGACACCTACTACTGCAGTGCAGTGTCTGAATGCAAATCAACATATAATTTAATTTAAATCAACTTGAATTAAAGTATCAGCCGTATCTACAGCCATTTGCATTTGGAAAGTGCTTTTGCATAGATGGCCGAAATAAAAAAAAAAAGTGATGTGTGTTGAAGGAATGTGGTCAGTCTGGCTTGAGCACATTTTAACTCACAAAGGCATCATCACAGGTCTGGATGGTGTGGTGACGCTGCAGCTGTCCACGGGACCTGTAAGCGTCACCCTGGGGACCTCGTGGATAACCAACACCATTATGGTCAGGCACCTCCATGGCCTGCCCTGGAGGTCTGCACTCCACATGTTCAGGCTCTGAAAGAATGCATTAAGTGTTTCACGAGGTGTAATATTTCAACTGCTCTACAGTTTATAAAACAGCTTTCAACAGGCCTCACCTCTTGTTGCTGGGGGACTCCTCATGTAACCCGCATGCCTGTGTGTTGGGGAGTTGTAAGGTGGGGTTCCTCCCCGAGGAGGCCCAAGCAGCTCGTGAGTCTCTCCTGCTTTCGTCAGCAGACCCTCGTGTAGTTGGTGATAACTAGATGGAACCTCGTCCTCCTCCATGCTCTCAGAGTGAGGTAAGCTGGGGCATTGGCCCTGGGCCGGGTGCTGCTGCTGCTGTTGCTGCTGTGGTGGCTGGGGCCGGCGGCGGGGGCGGGGGGTGGGGACCGCGGGGGCGGGGCT